CACTGTTGAGCAAAAGCGATTTGTCACCCTGAAGCGTCACATACCTATACAAGATTAGGTTGTATAAGATTATCTATATACATTATATATTGACATGTTTTCAATTGTCCCTAAATCCTCAATTTACTGTCATAATTTACACTCACATGGCTATTCAATTTCACGGGATCTGAAACAAATGCAAAACAGTACCCGAAAATGTCACCCAGAGGCCTCCTTTACAATTGACCCATATCTAAATTCAGTTTTTAAACTTTTTGATTCTTTGCATGTCTAAATTCAACTTAACCAATGTCTTTTTTTCATACTACAGAATCATCATGTCTGCCAGACTCAGAGTCATACTGCAAGAAGAAATACGCAAGCTTTCCTTGCCCTCAGGAATACCTCAGACTGTAGAGGAATTGAAGCATATTGTACAAGAGACTTTTGCAATTGAACAAGATTTTAGTTTGCAGTTCCAGGACCAAGATTTTAATGGTCAGTTTTTTACTCTCCTTGAAACTGACGAAATAAAGGACAAAGACACCATCAAGGTGGTTCTTGCTGAACCAGTGATCACATTAACATTGCAGGATTCTTCAAATGATCAAGGAGCCCAGGGGAGCTTTGATAGCATTTGCACCGAGTTATTGGAAGATGTTGGTTCCTGCTCCACTGCATCCAGTGATACCATAATTCTGTCTTCTCCAGGGAGAACCTCCTCCCTTCGTAATGTGCCTTGGCCAGCTCAGTTTGAAATACCTACCTTCTCCCTTGACACTGAGCTCATTCTACAAGCAGCAAATGAAGCTAACAGAAAGGATGGAACCTTACTTTGCAATCCTGCAGTAAAATCCAACATTCTGGACAAACTAGCAGAGAGCATCTTTGTCTACACAGCCTATCCTTCAAGTGCACAAAGGGAGCAGGTTGCTGAAGCCCTGGTTATGAAACACCCATGTTTGAGGGACCCAGTATCCTTCAATGGTTTATATAGTTGGCACAACAGCCTGAAGTACAAACTTGGAAATTACAGAGCAAAGGTGAAACACCTTGGAATACCAGAGCTAAATGTAAACTGTCTCAAGAGAAAGTTAGCTGCAGATAAAACTCCAGCAAAAAACTGGAAAAAAGCAAAGAAATCTGAGGTTAACTACCTCCCGCCTCACCCTCAAGGCGAAACTGATGCATCCCTTGAAAAGGAGAGAGTAGAGCTTCTCTATGAGTACAAGAAGAGAGACAACAACAGAGTCATTAATGAAATGATGTCAAAAACCTTCTCATTGCGTCGTAAAGATGTGATCCAGAAACTACCTGTGATTGACTTAA